CAAATACAACAGAAATGTACCAGAGGGCAGAGAAAAAGTATATGGAGTGGGACATATATGTTTATATTCGTTGTACATTGTAATTTGATGAACAAATATTTATTTCTACTAAGTCTTTTTATGCATCTATGCTACTTGTTTATTTATAGTCTTTAGAGAAGTAAAGGTAATTAAGCGCGTTTAGGTACTGTAGTAGACTAATAGTTGATTCGTTCTAGGAATAAATAGTTTATTTATATAATCAGTAGAGTGAAATAGTGTGTACAGAGAGCGTTTGAAACTTATAACAGTATTGCAGTTCCTGACTTCTAGGGGCAGATTTTTCCATATTTTAGAATACATGACTGTGAAGAAGTCTTCGCGGAGTGTTGACTTAAAGGCTTTTATTGTCACTGTGCAAGTTTGGTTACGCAGATCGTAAGAGCCTTCTTGAGCGAATTGTATGTCCTTATTGTCTGAGAATGATATTTTGTGTAGGACCTTATAGAAGAATACTAGGTTTATAATTAGTCGTCTGGTCCACAGTGGGTCAAGTTGTAGAATCATGCACCGTGAAATGTAGTCTTTCTTACATTCGTGGCCTAGTAGTTTTGAGGTAAAATAACGTTGGATGCTTTCTATTCTTAGCTTTCCACGTGTGTGAGTGCTGCTAATAATAAGTGGACAGTATTCTAGTAGTGGCCTCACACAGGTTTTGTACAGAATGAGCTTTGCTTCATTGTCGTGAAAGTTCCTTAGTATTCATCCTAAAAGCATCCTCGACTTTTGAGTCTGTGATGCCACTTGCTCAGAGAATGTTAGGTTACTCGAGTACCTCAGACCTAGGTCAACGACACTTTGGAGTTTGGTTATGTTAGCCGATTGAAGCGTTAATTTCATGTCGATTGAGGGTGCACCGAAGCAGATCCAGCCACATTTTTTAAGGTTAAATTGGAGGTTCCATAAAGACGACCAAGCAGTCACTTTATCTAGTTCTTTTTGTACAACATTCTGGAAGTACCCTAGGTCATCAGATTGGAGTGTATAAGCTACTTTTAGGTCATCTGCAAAGATGAATGGTTTCCCATGAGAGAAGCGAGCGCATGTGTCGTTAATATATAGGGTAAATAGAAGGGGTCCAATGACACTACCTTGTACTACACCAGAGATGATTGGGCTAGGTTTAGAAGTTATAGATCCGAGTTTAACTGTTTGGGACCTATTGTTAAGGAATGATTTAAGCCATCCTAATAGTGGGCCACGTATTCCTAAGGAGTTCAGCTATGTATTAGCAGTAAACGGTCGACATGGTCAAATGCCTTAGAAATGTCAAAGTAGATGACAAGTACCAGTTGTCGTTTGTCACGACTGCTGGTCACAAAGTTAAAGAAGTCTAAGTGGCATGTTAAACAAGATCTGGATTTCAGGAATCCATGTTGGTTCGGACTTATAATGTTGCAACTAAGCATATGCTTCATTAGGTTGTCTTTAACTGGTCTCTCCATAATTCTAGATGCTATAGGTGTGATATTAATTGGCCCGTAGTTACTGACGTCTGTTTTCGAGCCAGATTTGTGTTTAGGCGTAATAAACGTTGTTTTCCACACATCAGGGTAAGTTTGAGTTTCTAGGGACATTGCGAATATTTTAAGCAGTAGTAAGGGAACGTCAGGGCCACCATATTTATAAAAATAGGATGGTATGCCGTCAGTACCGAAACCTTTTGAGCATTTCAGGGTTCTTATAGTTTGCTTAATGTTAGCATAGTTAAATTCAACAGTACTAATTAAGTTTGGTGTGTGTGGAGATGGAGTTTGTGCCACATTAGTAGCAGGGTGTATATTGAGTAACTGGACTGTGGGCTTAAGGTAGTTACCTGCAAAAGTTGAGTTAAATAATTCACACATGTCTGCAGAATTAGTGTATAGCCTACCTTTGTCTATGAGGAGGGAAATGCTGTGATTTTTGCGATTCATTCGCTTCTTTAAGATTTCCGTGAGTGCATACACTCTAGCAGGACTGGCTACTGCTATGCGTTCTTCGTTTCTCATACGGAGATTTCGAGCTTGTGAGATGGAACTAAGGGTGTCAAGTATTAAACCTAGTGTGCCAAAGTCGTGGTGTTTGAAGTAACTTGTTGAGAGTTTCTTCAGTTTCATACGATCCTTTGGTTTTATGAATGACTTCCTGTGTGGGGAAAGCTCAAGTGTTTGGAGTGGAATGACAGCATCTAAGCATGTGTTCGAGTTATGACAGAAGACGCTCAGAGCTCTCGAGAGGTCATCAGTAGTGAAGTATTCGCTCCATTCGGAGGATCTTAGCACTGATTTTACTAGAGTCCAGTTTGCCTTACTGTAGTTCCTGTAAGTTATTTTTTGTGAAGTAGGGGTGTGGGCTGCATTGCTACTTGACGGAAGTGGCAGTGCACACATCACTGTTTTGTGGTCACTACCTGAAAACTTAGAACCCACTAAGATTGAGAGGGGGCTTATATCTTGACAGAATATTAAGTCTAGTACATTGTCACCTCTTGTAGGGATAGTGACAGTTTGTTTCCAGCCGAAAATGTCCAGTGTCCCTAAGAGCTTGTCGTATTTAGTTGGCTCTTTTAATAAGTCCCAGTTGATTTCGGGTAGGTTGAAGTCTCCACATATGATCTTATGCTCGTATGGAAGAGTGGATACTTGCTCCACTACATTTATAAGTTGTGTCTCGTAATCACTAAAGGTGCCAATAACACAAATTCCCCCACGCAATGTCATATATATCACCCGGAGATAAGCCAATGCTTCCATCATATTCCACTTAAATTCAAACATATCAATCATAACCTGTGTAAAAATATTTGATTCTCTACGCTGACTTTAATTATGAAATCACTAGAGACGCATAAGTGTGTAAATTGTTCCCCGTTGTCATTCATTTCACTGGCAGCCTCCCTCTTGCTACATGACAACTTCTCTTTCTGTATTGTCTGATCCTACTTTCACTGATGTTTGATTAAGCTACTCTTCTGTCTCGATTTTTTCTGTGTGTTCAACCCAAATTTCACTAGGGTTGTTGAATAATTTGACAATTTTTCCGTGAGCAGGTTGTTGAGATAGAAATATGTGCTTATTTAGCCTTACTGATTCGCTCCTAAACCAAACCCTTCTAACTGTTAGACTGTTAATTTTAGGTTCTTTTCCAAGTTTGTTGTAATTTCGGCGTTACTGTTGTGGCGAATAAATCGAATAATACCTATCTTGTTATCATTTTCTGTTCCAACTTTCGTTAGCCGCCTCATATCTTGTTGATGCCTAAGAAAATCTTTCATTCCACTTATTGCATAAGGAAGTTGAGACTTTCTGACATAACTCAACCTCTTCACTCACGTTTGAATATATCGTGCATTTTACCCACTCTTTTTTATAATCCCCCCTCCGCCTTGTTCTTCACTGCGCTTCTCGAAAAGGACTATGTTATATTGCGTAGGATTTAGAAGTCTCTCACCAAGTTTAGTGGTGTACCTTTGCCCCAACAAACTGACTAATTGTTGTTGATAGACATTTTAATTCTTGCAAGCAGATGGCTTAAGTCACATCCTGTCGGATACGCGATATCCTCTTCATTCTGCTGAACGTTGTTTTTTTCTTTTTTCGCATGTCTTTTGGTAGAAGCAGAAATTTCACAAGAATTTATGCTCAAACGGCTAATAATTATTGTAATTAGCACAGTTGTTGTGTGAAAACACAAATGTCAGAAAGGTGCTTATAAACTCAACTTGCAATGTTTAAATAAGTATCATGTATATTTTTCTTTTACATGAAGAAATGAAAAATTACTAACTTTATGAGTAAAATCTATGAGCCATACTTCCTATAACTTAACCTTATTTCACGCAATTCGTAGATTCTCATCACTGAGACTTCGGTCACGTATATATACATATATATACTTTCATATCATCACACTGTCTACAACACTTTGTATTCTCTGTTGGCCAGTAATCATCTCATGGTACGATCAGATAATTAAATATAGGCGGTCATTTATCTCTGAGTAGCTGACGCCACTGAGCGAAAACAACGATTGCAAAATCAATCAATAGTCGGTAACTTTTTCGTCCAAGTTTTACAGTTTTCGAATTTGATCCCACACGCAAACCAAATGCTAGACAATCACGTCCTACGCTTATGTGTGTGTGTGTGTGCTCCTACCACCAATTATTCTGACAAATTATTTGATTCACTGGTTCCTGCTTACGTCTTCTCTCAGTTACAAACAGTAAGCATTCATACATACGCCACTCGAATAATCTGAAAAATTTTTATGTCCCTTGAGCTTCTCATTTAAGTTGAAATCAAAAATAACAGCTAAACATTCCACAATTACAACATTAGAATCTCTGTCGACAATCAAATGTTTTGCAAGTAAATGGCAAAATACGACTCTGCACGAGGACGTGTTGACCTGTCGTACTTCATCATTCTCAACCTCAATTTAGATCACGTCGCCTATCTTTGTATCCGTTTATATATAAGGTTGGAACGAGAGACGAGGATCGATTCAGCTTCTTGTGAAGCCATTCACTCACATTTCCAGCTGGTGGATTCGCCAGCTGAACCATTGATAAATTCATAGATTGAACCAACTACTTCACGTTAGTACGTGACTCCATGAAAGATTTATTACCGATTACTCAAAATCTCTCAATTCCTTTTTTACCTTGACGCGCACATCACTACTTCTATGTAAGTCAGTAGAACATAAATCCGTGTATTGAGTCTTTAGTTCTCCTTAATGTGAACAGAGTCCATAAGGATCAATTTCAAATCATAAATAAGTTGCAACTGCTGAAGTAGCTAATTTCAATAAACTCTCTGGTTGACTTCTATTTGCCAGCAACTTATATATTGCTGTGAAACATAGTTGCTCATTTCACCATGTTGTTTTACCTCGGAGCTGAACGACGACATCAGCGCCGCATCTGCAGTATTCAACCTCGAATTCACTACATCATGACTCTAACAGAATACAAATCTAGTTTCTATTGTGTCACAAAATGTACAATAAACACATAATGGGAGTAGCATAGAGAATAGTCAGAAGAATACTGTTGTAATTATTGTCAAGTAAGTTTACCATTCGAATAATGACAATAATAATAATTTCTAAAGAAAGAAAAGCATTACTGGTGATCGGGCCAGTAACAAACATTATCACATACTCCGTGGGGTGGAAATAATTTTCTTAGTTTTTAAGAGAAAGAAGTACCAATAAATATTCCCCTTAGAAGGTTTATATTCTGAAAAGTACATTTTTGCAATGAAGAACACTTCTTGAAGGCTTAATTCTTTCACCAGATGCCTCACTTTTTCTGAAGAGCATCAAGTTGCGCCTTAACTTCAGTGGCTTGAGTCGACAAACGCGAATTTTCTTCCTTCAGGAAACGTAACTCTCCTTTCAGGTTGCGTTGCTTATCGCCAAGTTCTATTATCCTCTGCTGAACGAGATCAGTGTCTAGGAGGGATTTTTCTCGATCAAGATCTAAACTCCTACAATAATGCCTACAAAAGAAATTGTGGAACCATGTAAGTGGGAGATAGACAGAGAGGTTGGCAGCATGTCATTAACAAAGGCAAAGTGGTGTTTAGAATTAGGAAAACGCAAATAAACAAATTAAAAAAAGATTATTTAAACTAACTATTCCACTGCCCTATGGAGAAGAAAATGATATGAGATTGGATTAATTTTGTGTACAATACTGACTAACAGAGTTCCAGCATAGAACTTTGCACACAAGTACAGTAGTTCCAGTTGCACACTAAGGTAAACAACAAAGAGAAAAAATTAATTTCAAAAGAATTATAATAAGCAGAAATATGCAAGAGGAAAAATATTGACATAGGAGAACATGACGGTATAGTACATCCCAAAGTGTGAATGCTTCTGCGCCATTGACAACGATTTCGAGCCATATCATCAATAGTTTCCAGCCATTTGTTCTTATCACCTCGAGGACACCAACCAGACAGCCTATACATTCCTATATGCCTAAAACCAAGTGTGAGTACCTGGATATGATTATGAGCAGTAATAAATTGTGCTCGAAACGTGGTCATCAGTAAATAACATTACTGTATAACACTGTGAATAGATTTTATCCATAATGGAATTATACTCAACCACAGTGCCCAAATTTTATCCTTATATCGATAAAATGTGGCAGTATTAGCTGGTTGGAGGCAATCGGCCGCAGGAAGCCTTGCTTGACCTAGGTTTCGTGCTAGTTGGCACTCGTCAGTAGGGCGTATCTGCAACCTTGAAGGAACTCATGTCCCTTCTGAGATTCGAACCCGCGTTACTCAGTGCTGCAGTCATAGACGTTACCACTGAACTATTCGGGCTTGCGACTGACTTCCTATAGGAGGTCACCGTGATGGCGAGCTACCTAGAATGGTGGCCACATTGCAAACGTGACTGATAGAATTCAGTCTGCACCAAAGAAAGGACTAGACGCATCACACTAGCTACTAGTGCCCAATAAAACATGGCAGTGTTGGACACTGGTATGTCTATATTCCAGAATTTGTTGAAGAGTGAAGGTACCATCAATACACTCTCTCTCTTCCTGGTCTAAGGCCTACCTGGTTTTCTCGCACCGCTTAACCACCGCATCGGCGTTATTGAGTCTACAACTTTACATATTATTATATCAGTCAAGCTTATACAGCAAAAGACACACTTAGGTATCACACAATTTTTCTTTATAATAAGCAAAAACAGATGGGTCAAAAAACTTTTGCAGAAGAGAGTGTAGATCCCTGTCAAAAAGCATAATTTGTATGGCTGACATACAACTAAATCTTTTGATCAAAAAGAAAGATTGGGAAACTTCTACCATAATACTATATAAACTAAAGTGGAAAAGAGTGGAACTACATTTTCAACAGCAGCAACAATGAGTTTTTTTATTTTTTTTATTCATTAAAATGACTCTTGATGATTATCCTGATTTCTTTGATAGATTTCATTAAATATGCTTTACTTGTCAATGAAGGCATTACTCATATTAACTTAACCAATCAATTTAAGTTAGATAATTCACTGTTTCTATACATTAATTGAGAACTCAATTTGTGATGAATACACCTTAGTGTACCCGATTGTAAATAAAAGTGATAATTCAGAAGATTGATTTTTAATCCCTGTAAATGGTATTAAGCTATAAATAATAATTACGAAGTGGCGAGTTGCACGTAGAGGCGGAGGCACATGTATACTATATACACAGATCTGATATTTCTAATAAGTGAAAGAGCCTGATTAATTGACTAAGGTCACAGTGCCATCATATATGTGGACAACACATTACCAATCATCCATGAATGCAAATTATCGATTGTTCACACCAGTTCATGTATTCGCTCATCTCCTAGCCGCCTAAATTGATTATGCATCATCATAAACATTATTGATCGACACACTCAAACGCTATTTTTTTACAGCTTAGTACCACTGAAGGAAGAGAAGCATATTCGAATCTCGAAAAAACCTCCTGGTTTTCTACTGACCGAAATACTGCCTCAATTAGCTTACATTATAATTACTTATTTTGCATATTACTTTAATTTGTGATTTATCAGTCCAATAGTCACATAATACTTAACTTTTTGAAGAAAACCCTCTAGTTATTTTATTAATAAGTATTTAAAGAATTAAAAACAGTGAATAAATTAAAAACAACAGTTTGAATTAAGTAAAAATATCTAAATTTTATCTTACATAATAGCAGCCTCGGCCTTTTCAGCATCCCTTGGCGATTCAGGAGATTCCAGCGATTTCTCGCATTTCCTCTTCGCCTACAATGAACAAAAATATTTAACACATTATAAGTGACAGCAATAACTAAAAAAGTCACTTGGTCATGAAAAATACTTATTAAATGCTATCTGGAGGTGACGAGGACAACAGACTGTGTAGTCACGAATTCGATTGACACTCATAAAAAGAATAAAACAGAGTAAGCTGAGTACATAAATAACTATGGGTAACCTGTACAAAATCTATTCTAAAAATATTCATTTTCACTATGCACTGATAGCAGTGCTTGATGAATTGTGTGCACGTTGAACTGCTGCAGATGGAGGAAGAATTCCACGTTGGAAATTTACTTCTGTTCATGCACTGATGGAAAAAGAGAATAAGAATACTAATCGAAAGAGGGGGCGCGGCGGGGTGGGGGGCTCTGCTGAAGTAAATCTTGAGGAGAAAAACTAACAATATGTTAACAGAATGTTTATAAACTAGGCTGTGTATGTGTATTAGAATAATTCACCGGGACCATTATTTTAAAAAAAGGGGTTTTGATATTGGTTTTACAGAATCATCTGAAACTTATACATGGCTTTATGGAACTAACAGTTGTCACCTACCTACCTATCTGATCTGAGCCAAAAAATTCTCATAACAGTCAAATAAAGACAGTCCAACTGTACTACTACTAGAACGAATTTTCAGTCTGAAAATTCCACAGTACGTTTTTTGCATTTCCTATCGATTATATAAACAACTGAATACTTAATAAATAAATAGAAATTAAACTGAACCAACCTTTAATTCTTCATAATCTTTTATTTTTCGATGAATTTCTTTATTTTCCCAACGTATATCTTCAATTTGATCATGTAAAATATCCATTATCTCCTTGTTTGGACACGAATCCACCCGTATTGCAGCCTTATTTTTACGTAGGCACCATATGAAAAATGAAAACGTTCAAGTTATGAAAAAAAAGCGTGAGAAATGAGCATTGTAATATTAACTTTGGAAAACCACGATGACATTCATTCATTCATTCAAAAACTAGACATATAGTGCAATTAGCATTTAGAACTCCAGTAGGATCAGAGCCGTTCGTTCAATATATACTGAAATTGTTACTACTTGCTTAAAAACAATGTCAAATATATCTAGATTAAAGAAGACATCCATCTAAGTGCTTTCCCAATGTGATGAAAATAGGTTGGTCGGATACACCGAATATAAATGAAATCAACACTTCATTCAACTGTATCCAAATTTTTGCATCCCCATGTCTATAAAACCTAATAGTTGAATGTCATTAGTGCTTGGTAGGAGACAAAGAGGTTTACTATCCCTCATTATTTACATGACCTTCATATCAGACTTTTAACCCCAAAGACAGGTAAAGGACCAGGTTAGTGGACTTTTATCGATACATACTGGCCAACCAAAACAAAGTTTTCCATATAATAAACTAGTAATTTATTGGCTGTGTAAAATAAACAACACAGCTGCAATTTCCAGTGATATTGCTTTTTTGAATAAAGAAATAAACCATTACCTTTTCAGTCTTCTCGGTGTGGTAATAGTTCAAGTGGTCAGTCATATATTATCGTTGTATTGAAGAAATAGTAAGAACAAATCTACAAGTCCAGTATTATTATTGCTGCATAGATCCGGAAATTTGCAACAACCACAATAGTCTTATCACGATAAGCAAGCGAGTATGCCTATGTATGACGGTGTACTGCGAGTGATTTCACCTTGGAACACTTACTTTGATGTTGTCGAGAAACAAAATAGCCCAATGGCAGGAAGTTACAAAATATTGCTAATTATATTAGAGGGCGAACATTTTAAGCTCATTTATAACTTACAAGTAAAGACGTAAGCTTTGCAGGCATATTATCCAAGCGTCGTCTTAATTCTCTGATTTCCTCCCTCTGTTTAACGACCATTTGTTCGAGAAGTTTGCGTTCTTTATCAACCTGAAATTTATTTAAACACACGTTGATTCTCTGTAAATATTATTATATTTCAATGTTATACTGACATTCAGTCAGGCATACTTCCTTCGATCCGCAACAATTTGTGTCGAGAAAATAGCACACATTTTAAATAGCGACACAAAATATCGCTCTAAATATCCCTATAATATAATCAGAACAAGATGATTTTTGCGTGAACAACTATTTTCAACAACTTCAGGCTATACAGTAATATATCCACGAATACAAATAGCCAGTAAATGCACTAATAATAATAACAATAGCTTTATTCCAAACAGTATTTGTGATACAGGTATGGAATTTTCAGCGTGCATTACAATATTGCATCTAATTACCTCATAAATTTTTATAAGATTTCAAAAATAAAAAGCAACAACAACAAAAAGAAAAAAGATAAATAAAAGAAATAAAAAAAGAACAGCATTGCATTCACATATTTAAACAATGCACCACAGGATATGAAATATAAAATTAGTGTGTAATAGAATATGTGAGCAACAATATAATAGTTACAAAGAAAGGAGAACAAAAGCTAATGGGAACTATTTGTTAGAGTGCCGCAGTAAGTTGATCGTGTCATATCTAACGGATTTCTCATCACATAACAGCTGTGCCAGATAAGGTATTGTGGAGTTTTTGTACTTGGTAGTCCTGGCATATAGCCAAAATCCCAACCAATAATAATAATAATCATTTTATTCTAAGTATTAATGATTATGCATCATCATTTTACCTTACTAGTTGACTCACTGTTCATATTTAGTACCTCAAGTTAATATCAGACACATTCCGTAATGAAACATTTATATGCATATGTCGTAAGTGTTATCGTAACATTTTACGAAGGCAAACAAACAGGATACGTATTTGAGTACAGAAAACAGGTTGGGTATTATTGAATGTATACCACATGGTGAAGATCAACAATGGTGGTTTCTCAGTGATAACAGCTAGTCTTCTCCAGGTAGAAACAATCTCCTGAACTGTAAAATCACAGATGAATCAGCCAAAGTCCTCATATTGTCACAAAACCAAGAAATCGAATACTCTTCATTTAGTTAAATACGATGCATTGACTCCAAATACTAATGGAACACAATTTAACTGATACACACCGCTACATACTGGGACCAGTAGTGAATTATTTATACCTAAGTGCTGCTGATGATAACAACAAAAGTACTAGTAATAACAGTAAGAAAAAAAGTAGTGCAAACTGTCTAAATACGCTTCTCTCTGTTGAATACAAGAAATATATAAATGTAATATTTTCAGAAATACATTTAACCAAACATTGCATTCATTATAAACTAACTTCAGAAACTAGAGACATCGTGGGATTGAGTTGAACTTGGAGGGTTTCACACTGAGCTTGAGTGTTTTCTAATGTTGATTGACATTCCTTAATGGAATAGAAATAGAAGGTTTAGAAAAAACTGTCTCATTATTCGAAATTCGAATCACGTATAATTGAAAGTGTGGAAACGAAATATTTCATAATTTCGATCAAATACAATGGGGGAGGGAAATGGAATTTCCGTTACACTAAGACGAATGTAACCATACAATAACCAACAACTTAGAGATCCTTCAAACAGTAAGGAAAAGATCCCTACTGAGTTAACATCCTAAGAACGCATTATTCAAGTAGGTATAAAACTTGGGCACTGTGGTAGTGTATAACTCCATTATGGATAAGGTTTTATTTTGATAAATCACACAGTGTTATACAGTAATATTAAGTGATGACGTTCCCAAGAATGTAAATGGTCTGTGCTCAGAGATGCGTTTCTATGCAAATTCAACTCTGAGTCGATCCAATAATCTAGATTCTCTATAGTTGGTTTGTAAAGATTAGTTCTGCTTTTACGAGTTGATTACGAATTGATAGATGTTAGAACTCATGAGCCATTGAATCGCGTCCCAGTGGCTGAGTGGTATACGAGCTTGCCTTGTAACCGGAAGGTCCTGGATTCGAACCCCAATGGGTGCGTACTGCCAATTATTCCCAAACTAGGGTGAAACAGCTCTCCAGTGCTGGTTCTCTAACTGATATCAATCGTGATCAACTCGTAAATCTATATTCTACCTATTTTTTATATCTACATAGATGGAAAGGTGAGCATATTTTTGTTCACTGTTAAAAAAGTGTATTCAGATGATACGGACCTTCGAAGTAAAGACTCTGACACAACGCACTCCTCTGGATACCTCGAGCAGAAATCACAGCATGTTTGACATGGGATTCGTCCCTGTCAAATGTAAGGTGATGCTACACTACTCCTTTGTACTCCTTCTCCAACTTTAAGGATAGAGTGAAACGGCTTAGAGCTGACTTCACTTCATAGGAGGCTTTACATATATATACGCGATACGCATACTATACACTTTAAAATTACTCACTCGTACCTTTAACTTCTGCTCTAATTCATCTTTATAACTCTGTAAACAAAAAACGTCCTCTTCTAATCCTTCGATCCATCCACACAATCGCGATGTTCTCATTTGTGCAGTTTTTTTCACTCTGGACAGATGATTTTCTAATAGTTTAACTGCCTTTAACGCTCTATTGTTAGAATCCTGAAAAAGAATGCAAGCATTTCTAAGAGTTGAATTTTACACAAACTAATACAGCGATAATCGTGATAAGCTAACCCATAATGAAACAGTATTGTTTGCTGATTAGATGTTAAACACTACTCCTATATATTTAATAACGAACCCTTTACACATAAGAAAGAAATACACCAGTAATCCTACACAAAACTGGGAAGAATGAACATCTACAATCCGGGACCTATTTTTTAGTGACCAAATTATCGAAAACTATCACCAACAAAACGATGAGGCGGGAAAAGTAGTTAGACAATGAGAGGAAACAATTGGTAAGCCTATATGGTTTGGAATTATGCCAAAATCGCGTATTACACATTGGATAGACTGTGACAATACTACATAGAGAGACCTATCCCATCAGAGCGATTTTGGATTTCACAAACACACCAATGCATATCTCGTCAAGATTCCTGGTCGCTATACTGAAACCAAGACAATTCAACACAAGGAATGTTAGACTCATTTGGATTAGTTAAAACCATTAAAGGTAATAAAATACTAGACAGTCTGAATACAAAAGCACCCACAAAACGGCTACAGTTGCACTGAAAATAAGACTAAATAAAGATGATGATCTAAAAGGCAGAACAAACTTATTGGTAGGAGATACTGAAAGAGGCGGTATTCTTTGCAATACAAGGATCCATAAGAAACAACAACAAAGAGAGAGAAGTGATACGATGAAAACTATAAGATGACTGCCAACGAACCGGACTTCAATGTGATAACTCTGTTCACAAATACTGACATTGCTCTAAATAGTTCCCAAAGGTAGACAGCTTTCTGCTCTATGTGATCCTCTACGTTCCAGGAATACTCATTATATTCCACTTAATGACCTTTCCACAAACTTTATATGCTTTTACAAAGTGTGACAACTTGAATTAGTACAATTTTATGCAAAGTTCTACGCTTATAGTTCTCTGAACTGACTACTGTAATACTTCACAGACTCAGCATACAACATGAAAAGATGAGTGATGAGACGCGGCTCAGATACACCTTTGTGGAATGCCCTACATTGGTTCACCTAACTGTCACGTTGAAGCGACAGCATACACTGAAGCAGCAAATCCTAAACTGTAAAAACGCTCTCCTGCTTCTCAGTTCAAGTGAATCAAAATAAATGCCCCATCAGTTTGAAAGAAAACTGTCACCAACTATCTAGACTTTTGTTCTGAATGGAGGAAGTCTCTCTTTTTATCTCATTCAAATGTTCAAACATAAGCACAACAAATAAACTAACCATACAAATTTCGTCCACTTTATTTTCACGAGCACATAATCTTTTTAACAGGTCAGTCTCCAAATTTTCGAGAGCGTTGAGCTTCTCAGCTAGACGGTTCATCTCGCTTAATTTCTCTGACTGGCGATCATCAATATTCCGGAATTCTCCTGGACTTTCACGTTCGAAAACAGCAATAAGTTCATTAAGACTTTGTATTTCAGCAACAAACGCAGTCTCCATTTCTTCTAGCACGTCCAATCTGGCTTTTAATCTGTGATCATCTTCTTTCAAGTCCTGTGTAATGGTGAAAACGGATTTAATTCACATATATGTTGCGCAAATAAAGGAATTGTATAATAACAAGAAAACAACAAATACCATTCCAACAATCCCTTCAAAAAGGTTAATTTCAACTGTTTTTCTGTGATGCAAAAAACTATACACGAGTGGACAAGCATGAAGTTAGTAGAAGTACATTGATAAGTCATACACTGCAACCGGCTAAACTGCAATGACAACTCCAGCCAGCCAGAATAAACATATATATCTTCGGTTACAGGCGTAGTAAACACTCCTGGTGGCATCAAAAAGGTGATAACGGTTTAGAAATTCTTACCTCATAAGCTATAACGCAGCAGGATGACTTAAGGTGAGAACAAGCGTCCTACTACACTGACAATATATGATTCACAACGCGACAACCACGTGATTCTCTCGAGATATCCGGAAATCTCTACTATCATACTCCCGGTTTAAGTAACCTATCTAAACTTCATGCTAGCTCGTTAAGACCGTTATACTCAGGCGGTTTTGAGATGTTACTAATGATTCAATACTTGCACACTTTAAGCTATCTTTCTTAAACTATTTTGAACCAACTAATCTAAATCAGTCCACAACCACATGAAGGCTCGAGGATTAAATCATATGGAATTTGTGAGTAAACTAGAAACTCTCCAGTTACAACAAAAGATTTCCACCTTGTCTGTCGATTATTTGCACTTGTGCTACTGTCGTTTAAGAGAAAAGTTGTAAAATATAAGTGAACGCTAATCTTCTGAAGACTTGATGACTGCTGGATATGCAAAATATAGTCGCCACTGGAATGACAATATAAATGGATAGCGATTAACTGGTAATGTCAACATTGTCTGTTTGATAAAACCGCATGCCTATATTCATGGTACAAAACAGTCTCAATGTTGATGGTGTACTGTCAGGGTCGAAAGCAGTACTGAGTGGAGTACCTTAGGGAATTGTACTTGGCCCCCTGCTATTCTTATTATACGTAGATGAAGTGCCGAAAATTCTTACCTCATCTTCCTTATTATTTCCGGACGATATTAAGATATGTAAAGCCGTAAACAGTAACGATGAAAGGTTGGTACTACAAAACAATCTAGATAAGTTAGCTGAATGGGCTAACCTTTGGAGTCAGGAAATCAATTCCAAGAAAAGCGCGATAATGCAACTAGGTCAGAGGTATTACGCGTCGTACTCCTTGTGGGAAAGAACTGCCAGATGTTAGAGGACAAGAGGACTCAGGAATTATTGTAAGCCACGACATAAAAACAACGGCAAACTGTAATGGAACCGCTGCTAAGGCTTTTCGAATGCTATGAGCACTCAGAAGGGCTTTAAAAACACTGGACGAGTGCATGTTCCAAGTACTTTATGCAACACATGTCAGACGTCATCTAGAATACTGCATACAAGCGGTGAGTCCATGCTTCAGGAAGCAGGCACATATCCTGGAAAGAGTACAGAGGATAAGAACCAAATCAGTTAGTGGTATCTCACACCTTCCTTATTATAAGACGATGGAGCATTGAAGCCTCTTCCCATTACCATACCGAAGGAAGAAAGGCGACTTAATTTTGGCATACCGCATATTAAAGGGTGATTCAGGGATTGACGTTTTAAATCTCTTCTCTCCCTCCAGGATTTTAACATAACTTGATTGCACACAGTACTTTTTGGTACAAGTATGGAATTTTCAGCATGTGATATCGGTAGCCCAAATTTCGCAGGCCAGGTGGGTGTCGACCGGGGATCGAACCCTGGACCATGTGCATGGTCGGCGAGCGTCCTAACCGCTGTGCCACCGACGCACTGGAACTCCTAAACTGACTCAGCACTAACAGAAATTAGATCTCTGCAGAGATGTATATTGCAAGGATTAACTTAGGTAACGAGAGCCCTCCATCTGTATAATCTGAATATAACTTCACTTGAATACACAAACTAACGAGAGGAGGAGTCATAGAACACCAGGTCCATAGCATTAATGTTTAAACGACGTATCTGAATACTTATCCCCCAGATTTCCACCAAACTAGCTACACTGGATAAACAATATAATGCATTTACTGTTTAACTGCTTAATTACAATTCCAGTTTATCCCTGCGCATCTTCTGGAACTTTTTGAGAAAGTCAGAATCACCGGTAACGTCATTATTCATCAGTTCAACTAAAATTACATCAGAATAGAATCAAATCAAACTAACGCTAAGAAGTTAATTGGCATCCAAATGGCCTATCCCCTTAAAATCGCATACACCATTCTGGGGTAGACAACCAATTTCGTCGTTTGACTTGTTCACATTCTCTCTCGCCTTACTCTCCTGACAACTTTAACTGCACCTATTATTATTATCATTATTACCGATATATACGTATTTAAATATATATATATAATATTCATATTATACTTCAATTTTAATCAGCTGGCTGTTGTTACGTTTTCTTATTCTTTTTCTGTCTGTTAGTCTGAATAACTTAACTAATTATATCTATTATTATTATCTCTTTTCTTTTGACGACGATACCGGAGGACTAACTGGTGAAAGGATCAACTCCATTCACAGTAGTAACAGTCTTAACACACCTCATACTACAAAACACATATAATTAATCCCAGCACTACTCCTTTTGGAGTCAACCAAAGCTACGACAGTCGAGTGGCGGGACGAGCTACGCAGAAGTTTACCGAAGATCAGGAACCTATACCTCACAATCAAGAGGCGTGCACAAAGAAATCAAATTGGTTTATACTAGCTCGCAAAAACGACATTGGAAGGAAGTGTGATGAAATTCATCTAAAATCACAATTACTTACCGACATCCTCAAGACAATGATTGTATAAGGAACTCGTCAAGTATCTGTAAAAGATGAGATAATTATATTAAATCAATCTAGTTTGATACGAGGTACTCGATACTACACACTGGTCAAAATATATAACATTGTCATTTATTTTTCTTTGGACCTGAGATACCCAGCTAGCATTTTCTTCGGGCGCACATCAGAATTTTTGGGGCCAGAAACTTCGGGCGCATTGCAGATTTTGAGTATTTGAACCTAGGTCTGCCCCCACAAAGCCTGCAATGCGCCCGAAATCTTTTCTGGGTTAAAACGTCGGCAGTTTTCCGAAAGAAAAAAAGTGAGCTGTTTTCGGAATCAACATGGGTAGTGTTCGTTGAAAAATGAGTAAACTGGGACAATAAAATTTTTCGGGACATGGCAAACGGGGAAAAAGTGGGTTAATTATGTAGCACTTTGACCGCTTTTGCTCACGTCTTTGTGGATCAAAATGACCCATTCAGCCCACGTTTTGTCCGCATTACCCAGGTGCATTCTCTGACTGGGTGGAATTACGCCTTTAGCTTTTAGAACTATAGTGCCATGTATGGCACTCTTGTTCGTGCCTGATTTTATCCACAGATAAGTTTGCCTGTCGCACTTACAAAAAGACTAACTTCTTTTGCCCAAGTCTGCCTTTCCTGCAAGTAATGAGGATCTAGTAAAGACAGAAATAAAGGACTCGCTACTTGCCTGTAACCAAACGTATATTTATAACGAATGCAATTATAACTCAGTAATATAAAAACAGGATTACCACTTATCTATACCCGTAGGAATAGGAAGCTCGAGGAAAGTACAGCGAGGGAGAAAACGTACAAGCGCCAAAATGTACAAGTAGCGTAGTGCTGCACGTGAGGTGGCGAAGTGGAGAAGCGCCAAAAAATTGGATGAGTGAGTTAAAAGAAAAGTTCAATGTACACTACAAGCTTTTAGAACTATAGTGCCATATATGGAACTCTTCTGATTCATTCACCAAGTAAAAAACAAATTCTAGTTATGCGGACTTCAAAAAGCCCACAAACTCACAGCCTTTCTCTCACTAGCATGCCATCATCATACATTTATGTTGTCTCCACCACTGAGGATAGCGGCACAAACGTCTTACGGGGAAGCCGAGCACTTGAAGGTCACACATGCACATTGTTATTGGTAGATTTTCCTTTGCAGAAACTTTGCATCCAATACGTATTACATGTTACTGAGGCAAGTTTTGAAATAGCATTAATAAAATCAGGTATACATTATATTTTTCAGCTGAAAGGAGCAAATTAATCAATATGCATAAATTTCACAGATATGACAAGCATTGGCCCCACGGCAACAGTAAAGAATAGACATCAACTTCGGACGACCTTGAGCATAGCCAATAAGATTTTTCTAGGTGAAAAGTGTATCAAAGATATATATCAGATTTCAGATTTATTGTTTGTGGATAGAATGCATGGAGCCTATGTTGATCCTTTTCTGGTAGATTTCTGTAATTGTCTAAACCCCTCTTGAATAAATTAGTTGAGGTCATGGACACCAATTCTTCTGGGAGTCGGTTCCAGGAGTTTATGACAAGGTGTAGGAAGCAGTACTCAACAGCGATGTGATTTCTTCTTGACTTTTGAACTCTTCTGCTATGTCCTCTAGGCTGTTCCGACCTGGTGGGAAGGCAAAGAGAGAATAGGTCAGGTCCGTACCCTTATAGATATAGAAATTAGGCACTGTTGTAGAGTATGACTCCATTATAGATAAGATTTTATTTTGATAAATGTCACTGCTACACAGTAATATTAACTGATGACGTTTCAAGCACAAATTATTTTTCATATGATTATGAGAAATAGTTTGTCATCATCAGTTAAGTTATCAGTTAATACTACTGTGTAACAGTGACGTTTATCAAAATAAAATCTTACCTATAATGCAGGTCCGCAGTCATTATTTATAGATTAAAACACTGTGATTAAATCTCCACTCTAACTACGGTATCACACGGAGGAGAGATTAAACTATCTAGTCTTTCCTCGTATGATAAGTTACTCATGCCGAGAACCATACGTGTTGCCTTCCTCTGAACCCTTTCTCGAATATGTGTGTCCACTTTAAGACAAGGACTGGCTGCCTAGATATAGTTTTCTAGCCTTCACCACACCAGATATGTATATAAGCAGGTAAACATATCTCTGGTGATTCTTTTAGACGCTCTGCGAATTGCCCATAAGGATCTGAAACTACGTGCAGCCACCGTGCGATAGCGTGCTGCAGTTTTGGAATCGTGACTAACTATAACACCTAAGTCCAAATGAGTCTGTACTTATGGGAGTGTTATTCCCTCTAGTTCGTAGGAGCTGAAACTTGCTTGTCCGATGAGCATGGTTGCACATTTTGCTACATTGATCGGGGGTATCCATTCTCTTGAAAACTCCGACAACTTGCTGAGGTCCTCTTGAAAAGTGGGTGCATCACTGTCGCCCTTCAGCTCTCTCCAGATTTTTCAAATCATTGCGTATATGATTGTAGGGGAATCGATGAGCATAGATAACTCATTGATATGCAAAATAAATAGGAGAGGTCCGAGTACCGTGCCTTGTGACACTCCGCTTTGCACTGCTGTACAGGATGAGAGTTTCGAGTTGATCCTAATCTTCTGCCTCCTATCTATGAGGAATTCCCTAAGCCAGTCTAGTAGCCTGCCCTTGATACCAAGACTTTCCAACTCCATGAGTAGTCTTTTGTGAGGAACTTTATCGAAGGCTTCGATGAAGTCTATGAAGACCACGTCAACAGGTCTTCTGTTGTCCCTTGGTTTGACCCAACGTTCTCTTGCAGTGAGGAGATTTGACAGGCATGAGAGGTCTCGTCGGAGGTCATGCTGTGCTCTGGATAACAAATTGTTGTTTTCCAGATATGCCATGATACTTTTCTTGGTGATTCTTTCCAGTGTCTTGATTAAAGTGCTGGTGAGACTAATAGGCCTGTAATTTGAAGGGCTTTATCCTGATCCTCCTTTATGGATGGGGGTTACTATGGCGTCTTTCCAATCACGCGTAACAATCCATTTTTGAGAGATAGCTTGAAGATCTTGGTGAATGGGTTGGCCATGCGATCTGATAGCTCCTTGAGAAGCCTTGGATGAAGATTATCAGGACCCATTGATTTTCCTGTATCTAGTTTCATTAGGCAGTTGAGCACGATGCCTTGGTCGATGTCAACGGAATCTATCCCGTATTTCTCTGATGCAGCCAGGGCTGATCCTATGGGGAGTAACGACTCTTTTGTGAAGACCTGGGAGAATTAGTTTGCCATTTCTTCTGCTTTTTCGTGATCTTCTTCGATTGTGTCACTGTTCATAGCCAGATTTGGGACACCATTGGACATTTTACTCCTGAAGTTCATGCACGAGAAAATTTTCTTAGGTTGTGCCTTCTCATTTTGAAGCAGATGTGCTTCGAACTTCATCCTTGATTGATGGATTTCTGCAATAGCCTTGTTCCTAGAGGTGTTGTGTAGTTCTCTGGCCTCAGGAGTCCCAAGTGTGGCCAACAGGTTCCAACATTGGTGTTTGCGCCTGGGTAACCTACGAATGTCTCGGTTTATCGAAGGGGGCAATGTTTCCAATCCTTCGGGACAGACCAAGGGATGAAAGGTTCAGTTACTTAGGCGTTAAGTTGTTTAAATTGGTTCCACGCGGCTTCCACTTGGGACTCTGGGTTGATGTACCAGTTCAGTGAGTTGGCTGCTGAGAAGATCGCATTTATATCGGCTTTCCAGACGTTTGGTCGAGCTGGGGTTTTGCCCTTGCTGCTGTTGCTGTGAACTTGCAAGTGAGCACAGCGCGATCACTTCTTCCTGAAGGAAGAAGCTTTTGTATGAGATCCACATCCTCACCATAGGAGAACACTAGCTCCAAAGTTGAAGAGGAGTTTTGGGAGTCATAGCGCATGGGCCCCGTCACATGTTGGACTAGGACTAGCAAAATAATATGTTCCAGCAGTTTATGATCAAAGGCGTTGTCTAAAGATGGCGTTGTAAGGCTTGTCCAGTCAACTGTTGGGGCGTTGAAGTCGCTGGCTACGAGACTTTGACATTCTGATATCCAGAAGCCTAGCTTCTCGATTAGGAAGTCATTTGTACTGCAGTCAGAGCTGTGGTCATATCGTTACAATCGTCATTAACGATGGACACTTGGTTTTAGCAGACTGTGTGCATAAAACTTACCTGCAGCTTTCCTCTTGCATCTCTTCAGTTAAACAAGAAGCTATTTCAAAAGACCGTATCCGTGCACGTCTTAGTATAAAACATCAACGATACCACATTTGGCACATATTTTATGCGATGAAAATAGTGTCAGAGGCGAACTAACTAACCAACCTTCTTTGCACTAGTGATGGAACTATTTTCTCCGTCCTCATCCCATCAAGCTTTACTGTTAATATTCTTAAACTTATTATCCTCTCAATATTCTTTTTATTTTCTCATACGTGTAAACATCATTTAAGCTATGTAATAACTACTATTTTTTGCCTTTCTCCTCGCTATGCTATATCAGCAGGAAATTAGATTCAATAATATTTAACATGCTGAAATTTCCAGACTGAATCGACCATAGTGTTTGAAACAAACTCACTGTTATTATTATATTTATTGTTCTCATTTTGCACTCCGAATATTTTTGACTTTATACCGTAAATGTGGATTAAATACTGTGGTTAATTTATATTATGAGGAAATCAGATGCAATATTGTGACAAATGCTGAGAGTTATATTCTGCATTATAAGTTCTGTTTGTAGAATCTAAGTAGATAATTATTACACTTTGGTGATTCCATTTTATCCTGCTTGACCTGTTCTTCTTGCTTTAATCATGATGTTAGCGTGTTTCATAGAATTCATCACACACCATATCAGGCCTAGATGTATACCACATGTAGGCATAATGCTTATGAGCTAGGTATGCGAATCAAAGTAGAAGCTTGTACCGTACATTCATTATTTATAAGACTCACTAGTATGTAAGAACTACGATTTGACCAGTTAGATAACGTTTAATATATTTAGACGCAATCAACGTACGCTGCTTACTTCTATGACGCATTACCTACAGCTAAGTAGTTGCCTTAAAACAGTTTCCACTGAAGGCGGTCTCCTGCAACTACTACCCTGGTGAGTAACTTCATGATATCTTTGAATTACAAAGTAAAAGTGGACATCCTGAGAACCTTCTCTGTAAAAAGATCGTGTCTTAGTTGAAGAAGTAAATATATTCTAATCTCCACAAAATCGTTTAGAACTACTTGTCCTATCACTTCGAATGACTCACTAATTGCAGTCACTTAAAAAGTAAAAATAAATTTACCGAAAACAATGTGCTTATGATTTCTAAATGTTGTAATGCACCATGAGGAAAAAGCTATTTCCATGGGGTTATAACAGTTAGACGCGCGATATTGAAGTTTTTTTAAATATCATGAACATCCTGTAATTATAGTCACAGAGGAACTGAAAATATCCGAAAAGTAAGAATCAGATTATATGAACTGAAACAAGAAATTTGTACTCAGCCAAATTTTTCACTCCGAAAAATAATCAGCTTCTCGTCTTGTAACTTTGAAATCACCACCGATTGCAGATCACCACTTCCGCTGATTTGAGATTCGACAACTTCCATATAACTCAGATATGAAGGATAACATGAAGTTATGAAAGATGATTTTATATATTAGTATACAATGTGAATGCACTGATTTTCTTAATGCTATGTAGGACCCTCATGCAAATAAAAGTACTTGTAGTCTACAACCAGTTTTCATATTGGCACTGTATGCATAGAGAGGAGTGATTTTATTGCATATCCCCGCCACGATGTCCGTTGCTATGCTGCTATGG